ACACTGGCCACAATTACAGGGCTTTAGGAAGAAACTCCTACCCAAAACTGGCACAAAGAATGCATCAAGTTGGACTAGGAGTTGAAATTGTTGGATGCTCACAGCATACGTAGTTCTGTGGCGCAAGTGCGATGAACCAGAGTAAAAGATGTTCTGCAAGCACTTTGACAAGTAAAGTGTGGTTCTCTTTGTCTTTGAATTATTATACTGTGGCAGCTGTGTTTTAGTTACATGATGAATGAGAGCAGAGCAGAATTGCATAGTGTTAACTTGACAAACATCCAGCAGCACATCTGGGCTATTATTGATGTAGCAGGAGATTAACAGCAGGGGGCAATGTTGAATTTGAGCTGATGCCTTGCAAAAGAGAAGGATGGAAAGAAATGCGTCCACAGTCTATCCTCTAGTGTCCTCTAGTTTTAAATGTATTTAATGTCTCGTCTGAGAATCGACTAACCGCAATTAATTTCAGTCATCAGCCCTCAACCCGCTAAAGCTTTGCACACTGACATACGCTGTCATACCTTCTATATTCTATGTAATTCATGTAGACTTCTAAATCCTGAATCCTCAGAATGTCATTGTTTTCCTCATCTGATTACACTTCACTTGTAAAGTAAGCAGACTTCTTGATCTCCGCTCTTGTTTGCCTGCAGTCTACATGTAAATGTTACAGCACAGAGACAGTAGTCTGGCAGAAAAGCATTACAAGGAAACCCGAGAGCTGAAGTACTGACACAATAATGTAGACACAATGACCCAAACCGCAGCGGTAATGCTTGGATAAAACATTTTAAGTATATCTTTGGGATTTTTATGTTACCTGACTCCAGGAAGAATAGCCACGTAAAATCCATGAGGAGTTATAGCATCCATAAAATAAGTTTTATAATAACGTTTGTGAGCTAGGGGGAACATATTTCACCAGTTCATCAGTGTCATTTGAGCTTCTGCCAGGCAGCCTTGCGGGGCTGCCCGGGGGACGGATAAAGGAAATGTGTCCTCTACAAAAGGCAAAGCAGGTTTATTTTTATATAGCACCTTTCAACAATGAGGCAACTCAAAGTGCTGTACATGAAACAAAAAGGCATTAGGACAAGATATAAAAGGGACAGTAGGCAATATAAAAAAGAAGCACATATATGTGATTTAAATGACTAAAATATCAAAGAATGTAAAAATAAGCTAAAAAAAGAATCTGATTAAATACAAGGTATAAAATAAGAGTGCAGCAACAGTACAGTGCAAGATAAGAATAAATGGTCTCAGTCTTATAACCAACTACCAGTATAACTGACCCTTGAAAAGACCCGTGAAAAAGCATTTTACGGGTCAGCTATCCTTGAGGTCAAAGGTGAGGATTTTCCTGTCAAAGAGTGTGAAGTAAATTGTCAGTTCCTGTTCATAGACGGTTGGTTTGTTAGTCAGACGAGATGTTGTCATGAACCGTCCTGCTGCTGCATGTGCAGGTCAGTCGCAGAGAAATCCTCGCCAGAATGAAACCTTTAGCCAATCCTCGTCTTTATAGCACCCGGTAAATGAAAGCAGCTGTGAGGACAGCAGGGAATGCAACCAGGAATGAACACTATAGCAAATCACATTATTACACCAGCAGGCGTTTAGATCAGGACCCTAAAAGGAAACCGGTTAGATTATCCTTGGTCCCCCCCCTCCCCCGATGAATACTGCAATTTTATGGCCCATGACCCTTCCTGAGATAATATCAGGGGTCTGGTGGTTTTTGTTGGCCCCTCGTGGTCTACGGAGACATTGGCCCCCGTCGTCCTGGGAGCAGTGGCTATCGTCCTTATCGCAGGAAGTCACACAATACAGCAGAGGAATGTAAACCCAGAGCTTTGCTGCAGCTGAACTTGCAGAAACACAATCAAGAGATTTAGTTTTCAAATCAGCTTTTTTTTTTTGTGTTTTTTAATTCTTTACCTGATTGCTTTGGAACACTGCAGGGAAATACACGTCACACGTTTGTTTTGTATTTCACTCACAAGAAGACATAACAGCGCTGAGCACTCTGGCACACCATTTCTAATCCAATTGGAACAATGCACAGAAACTCAACCTTCATACAGATATGACGAATAACAGAATATTCCAGGGTTTCCGTTATGACATTTTTCAGATGAGGTGGGAAGCCGCAGATCGTGACTTTTTGTGATCAATTTAGCGAGCAGATGCCTAAACAATAGTCACACCCAGTGAACTATGGCACTTGCTGTGTGAAATCACGTCTCTGCTTTTCCCGAATGTTGATGTTTTGTGTCTGAAAATGTTTTTTTTGTTCGAAATTATGTAAGCAGTCTTTCAAACAAAGTGGCCCACCTCTCTTCTAAAACACCACAGGAAACCCTTCATGCACTGCACTACAATACACTATCCCTATCCCTTTATTCGTTCATTAAAAATAGTTATTGACAGATTACGGTAATTAATAATGAAAATAATCATAAGTTGCATTCCCTTTACGTTTCACAAAGATTAATACACGGGAAGCATGCGTCAGACTGTACAGATGTTTGTCGTAAACTGCACACTCTGGACAATGTTTCATTGATAACATTTCATCAAGGAATCCTCACGTTTGTTTACCACTTGCTAAAATAACTCTTATATTATATATCTGAACATCCACCACATGATGAAACAGTCACGTGCGATTCTCCCTGCGTGGGTTTGACCCTGAGTTTTGGCCTTTGACCCTGACCTGGTGCATAAATTGGGCAACCGACACGCTACAATGGTTCAGGCATCTGATGTCTTTTTTTGGAAAACGTGCACGCCAAACCCCCGGGATCTCAGGTCAGAGAGGAGAAACCTTGGTGATCTGATGTTCAGGGGAAGGGGGTTGATCTTAAAACACGCTTATTTTTTCTAAAGGAGGCTACAGCTCTTATTTCACTCCTTTTAGATGTGTCTGATCACTCTGCTGGAGGTTCAGCTTTGTGACGGGTTGATGGATGAGTGAGGATAACACAAATTGAAATGCCCCCTGGAGTCAGGTGCAGCCTCTGCTACAACCCCCAGACACACTCATCTCTTCAGAGGTCATTGAGTTTAACATTCATGTCTGGGAATGTTTCTGTTTTGACAATAGCTTATATTTACTGTTACTGTGTAGCAAAGAGCAACATTCTGGTTCATCTCTCTTTTTTGTGGTTATTGTAAAAGATAAACACAACAATGGAATTGAAGATAGTGAGATAGTAATGCAATAACAGCATCCTAAAAGCACAAAACAAAGGTTCATTATTAAAAACATAAAGCCTGTGTCTGGTTCTCCTCTAATGAGTTAGTTCTGCCCTTTGAACATGACAGAAAAAGACAAAACCCTGTCCTTACTAAAACAATGCTACTTTATTGATCCACTGTAGTTTCCAGTGTTGTTTTGTATTCTGACCTATAGCGGTTCAACATTCCTGTCTGCTTATTGGGCAGGACTGATAAACATGACACTGACCCTGGGCAGTGTGTGGCCTCAGGGAGGACGAGGGGTAGATAGACGTCGTCTCTCTCTCACACAAACACACACTCAACGCAACACAAACACGCTCGTACTGCAGATCTCACCACAGGAGCCCTCCTTTAATCTTGCCCGTGACTTCAGGTCACCATCACTTGTCTGCTCTAGTCTGCTAATTACTGCATCATTTTCTGCAAACCTGCTGTTATCATGGTACTTATTTAGCGGGTTAAATGAATGGTACTAAAAGGCAAAAACTTTCTCTCACCCCAGGACCCAGACTCATTAAATCAAGATCTTGTGGTGTAGTGTCCACATAAAACACGGTGAGGATCCCAAAGTGGATCTTTAGCTGCATTTCATCTAGTCTTGATAAGGAGGACTGGAGTAATACATGTATCAGGAATTATGTTTTGTAGTATAGAAAAATTGTGTTCTTGATGTTAAAGGTAACATTTCATTACATATTGTGTGTCATTTATGTTTTATTAGAGTTTTTAAACACTTGGCAATAGAAAGAGTGCAGTGTTTTTGGTGTGAACATTTCCAGATGCTGTAAACTGAGAGGGAAATCATTTAATTAGCTGGTTAAACGCTGACATTGCACCAACATTTTCTTGAGGGGGGAAAATGTTCCTCTTTACAGTTACTCTCCTCTTTTATGCACATGGAGAACGTTTACAAGCTGCTCAGTGCCAAGTGAAAGCTCCCTCTTATTTTTTTCTCCACGGCTTTCAGTTTTCAATCCAAGATTCCTTCTGCAAATGAAACAGACCAATGAAATTAAAACTACGCTGTGAGCATTATCCCCCTGACAAACCCCCATGTGAACAAAAATCAAAATGTAACATTAATGCATTGCAATTTGGAGAAGCAACCCAAAACACTCTTTTCAGTTTTTAATATCTCAAATAGCTCAAATTATGGTATTTGGTGAACTGTCAGCACCTGTATCTGAAATGAGTCATTATGTCATTATGTCATTAGTTTGGAAACTGGAGGAAAATATTTTATCTAACTTAGTTGATGACAGCTTTGGCTGGATATTTAGCTGATGGAAATGAGTTGGAGAAACTGTGTGATCTTGTGGAAGTGTTTTGGAGGTGACGAGGGCAACATGCAAATGCTGCATATTTCCTTTTGTGCCTCTCAATTTATTACTAATTTTGAATCTGTTTTGGAGATATTGGATGTATTTTTTCTTTTCCTTGGAGTTTTGTACTAAGCAGACAAGTCAAAGGATGGAAACGGAGCACAACGTTTCCCACAGTCATGAGCACTTTCCACATTTTCCACATTTTCAAAAGCTCGATCCAAATTCATTCACGGACAACATTTAAGACTTAATCAGACTGACACGAAAAGGAAGATGTTGCTCAAAGAACAAGCTCAATGCTGTTTTTAAAACACTAATAATTAATTTGATTGTTTTACCGCAACAGTTCTTTGTTCTTTTAATTCCTGCTTATGGTTGTGGTTTCTATAAGATGCAGGATTTAACTTTGTCCTCGTTTCTTCCTGTCAGACGTTAATGAATGTGAGGAGACCAATGGAGCCTGTGAGGCTCTCTGCTGTAACACCATTGGAAGTTACTACTGCAGGTGCCCTCCTGGACAAAAACTCAATGAAGATGGGAAAACCTGTCAAGGTGAGTCCTCTACTATATTTGTTTGGTTGTGGAGCTGGGTTGTATATATACTGTATGTAATATCAATATAAGTAATATGATACCAGTAATTGGGGTTCTGGTTATCACACATTATAGCTACAACGATCTCTGATAAAGCCTCTCTGATCTAGCTGATAATCTGCTCGATTATCGGTTCCACATTACTACACTTTGCAATGTTCTTTAGTAAAAACATCTTTTGGAAGCATAAGTTGTCATCTCCAAAAAATGTATAGTATTGAAATATTCTGTGGAAAAATCAAACATTACATTGGATTGTTTCAGCATTGCTCATCCTGAGATGACACCATAATTTGACCTCTAAACCTGAAAAAACCTTTAATCCGGCTTTGTGTCCTCACTCCACTCAACCCTCACTATACTATTAAATGGTTTTATTCATGCTAGCGGTGTGGCTCTAGGGATGGCAATGTCAATCACTTTAGTCCAGACCAACATATCTTAACAGTTCGTGGGTCATTCTTGCTTCATGGAGGATGAATTCTAAAGTGTGTGAAATGTCACGACAACTGTTGGATGGATTGCTATGAACATTTGTACAGACATTTATGTGTCCCTCAAGTTCAAGCATTGCAACAACTTTGGTGATCCTAAAACTTTCCTTCTAGCACCACCATAAATATTTAAATGTGTCCGATACTTTGGTTTATGACCAAATACCTGCAAAACTAGTGTTTTTCCCGTCAGCCTCAGCTGTACTTTGCGTGTAGTGTTTATTGGGAAATTTCAGAGCTGTAGAATCTTAGTCTCATTCAACCAGTTTATACATTGGATGACATGTTGAATGACCTTTATCATTTTAAACATACTGAGCCACTAATGGTTCACCTGGCAAATAATTATGATCAATGTCTACTTCAGACAGCATCCAAATGTTTTTGGTCCTTTATTTTGTATTTTGTTTGCACGTGTTTATGTTGACATTTTAAGTTTTATTTTACATTTTTATTCAGTGAATATAGATTCTGCAACCAGTTCAACATCAAAACCATATCATTTCAACCCAAGTGAACCACAGGACCAGATCTTTTTTTAACTTGTACACTGTAGATAATAAAATAATGTTTTATGTCTCAAAATGTCTGCCCAGCATCTCTGAACCACAGCTCACCAAAACTGAGCTTCTCCCCAAACATTTTCCCATGAGATTCCCATTTTGCTCCATCGTGATTTGATGTTTCTGATTAGGAACTATCTAAGAGTGGTTGGTTCAATCAGAATAATGATTCCTCTGTGCAGCAGCCAAGCCTAGAGGAGAGACGTTGGAGTGCTCTGCAGTATGGCTGTCTGCTGGAGGAACCAGGGAAAGATCTGATCCAGGTCACGGTTATTAGGAGAGTCTATGGGAACGTTGTCACAGCTGGCTTTCATAGCTCTCTGCCCTCCGCCACTGGTGTATATTGGAAGAAAACAGCTAATGTCCTAATTGTCTGTAATTGGCAGTAGTATTAACAGAGGTAAAAGAAGCTGGATGAATGCAGTGGATGTTTAAGTAAGCGCTGCATGTGTGGCACTGGGTCTGCAGAAAGTGATCAGGTTTCCTTCTGCATGACGGCCTGAAGCTGGGAGGGCTGCAGAGTCAAAGCCTGCATGAGTCCAGATGAGAGACAAGCTCCATTCATTTGGCTCTTAAAAATAAATGGTTGTAGGGAGTTGGATCGTACACAACCGCACTACTACTTTGGGGGAATCCTGTCCTTGGCAACGTGCTATGTCTTTGATAAAAGACATCTGCTGTGGGATGTTAATATGTGAATAGAGCTGACATAGACAAACACGAACAAATGCATCTTTTGTTCAGTGCAAAAATAAATAAAAGGAAAGGAAAATAAAATACTGAATTACAATTTAATCCTTTGTGGACGGTTTTCTATATTTCACCTCCTGGATGAATTCCATTTTATTAATGCCTTTATTTTGAATAAGCAGCATTGATACAAATGGGCACTGATCAAAGTGGAAGAGGCCAACAGTAACCGCTGTCGTGCTGAGTGCAGAGGCAGCAGTGTCAACACGTTAGCCATCATGCAGAATGAACTCGATCGCTCAGACCAATAAGAGCGTGAAGTTGGAACGTTTTGGTCTGCCGGTGTTTGGCACCTGTCTCAATAGTGAGCTCTAGGAGTGTGTGAGTTACGTCTTCCAAAATCCACAGGTATGAGATGCCCTTGTTAAATCTGAGAACAGAACAGTTCCGGTAAAGATGTTTAATCTGTTGCGAGGTTCTCTCTGGGATTTTTCTTGTATCGTATTCAGATTTCTTTACTCAGGCTTGGAGCCAATGCTGTAAGATACATTGCCAATCATTTGTCACCTGGCTGGCATTATTATCCACATGATTCTGATGTCTGCACAAATAGGCATTTGATGTGCGATGATGTGTCCAGACGGGTTGTGAATATGTTTGCGTGCGGTGTGACAAAAACAATCTGTATCAGTTTCTGCTGGTCTGTCTGAGCTTGAGTTCCTCTCAGATGCTTGTGGCCTGATGTAATGACTGCACAGGTGTGCGTTACAGAAGCTTTATGTTTGCATTATTACGAAGGCAGGTCATAAGAAGGGAAGCTTACAGTCTTTGTATCCCGCAGAGGTCTCTTAAGGACCATTTCTCTTCAAATCAGGGAAGTGATGCTGACCATGAGCATGCTCGGCTCTTTATAGGCTCTATAACGTGCCGTCATGGTCCTGCCTCTGTATTTGTGTATGTGTTGGCAACAGATGAGAGTGCTCAGTGCTTAGCTCCTGAATAGTCAATTTCACTGCAAGGCTCATTTCTTTCTCAGATGTTTGGATTATAAATACTGGATTTGACGTCTGGCACTTATCTCATTTGGCTTTCCAAAAAATGTTTTTATACATGTCAAAAGAAATATATAGACCGTACATCCTTAAGTCTGTTCGCATTCTTTATTCTCCAAAAACGGAATGATGCACACCTTGCTTTTTATCACATCAAATTCTTTGAAAAATTCATCATTGAAGACAAGACATCGATCAATGTTGGCTCGTAAAATGCAGAATTATGTATTTGTATTTCATGCAAGATTGGATATTGTGATAGAGAGTTTAGGCTGGGGGTGAGGGGGAAATCTCGAGAGAAGGGGGGGGAGAGAGGAGGACCTTTAATGTGATGGACATTTAGTTTTAGTAGATGGGAGGGTGAAAGAGAGAGGGGGATGGAGGGAGGGAGAGGAAAATCAGGAGGCAGAGTGAATAAAAAGTAGTTACACTGTTACATCAAACCAGGATTCAGCACTGGCAGAACTGGTCATTCATTCTAACTTTTCATAGTTATTGTACTGAACCAAAATTAGGTTTAATTTTTTTACAGTACATCTTTTAACTTTAGTTTCAGGTCTCTGTGAGGCATTACGTTTCACTTTGGACCATGACTTTGTCATCGGGATGGTGGATTTACTTTTTGGTTTTAGTTGAAGTGATGGCATGTCTGACATCTGCTGCAAACTATCCTCAGAATTACTACAGGAGGATTTGCTATAGGCCACACTGTTACCATGGATACCATGGCTACAACCGGGGCCACCCTGCAGCCGGTGAGTGTTCCTTTCACAGTCAACGTGCAGATGAAGCCTTCGGCAGCAGTGTTTGATGCTTCCACTCTGGTGTCTGCTCTCCAGAGGAATAGTTTGTAAAATGTAATTAATATTAATCACTGAAGTGTGAACGCTTCAATTTTATTTTGTAATTAATTAATTTGACTCTTTTAAAAAAAGGGGAGGAAGTTAATTTCCACAAAGGATCATAAATAGATTTTTGGTCACAAAAAGGATTTAATACATAAGTAGGGAGTTATTTACAGTAGTCAGAGTATTTGTTTCGTAGCTTAGCCAGACTGGCTTATCAGCCCCTCTGATTATGTGTCTGCTGTATGTGCTGTCTGGCACTGCAATCCTCCCCTCTCTGATCAGAGTAGGGGAGGATTGCTTTACCAACAAAGATTAGAGCACATGAAAACATGAACTATGAATCATGAGAGATGCTTTGTAACGCTAACACAAACAGGGTTAGATACCAAATACACCCTCGACAAATTATGTCAATATTATTTTGAGTGAATATTTCTTTTCATGTTTGGCGGGACTACAGCGCTCTGGGATATATATGCACAAGATGAAACCTGTTTAACATTTATTATTACCATATTGCTGATAATCCCCCTGATCTGCTGTGTTACTTAGATGTCAGTCTTGGACTTAAATCAAGGCTGTTCAAAAATAATGTATCTTCTGCACACAATAAACAAATCACCTTTCGGAAATGGACCAAAATAGTTTTCCATGAAGCTGACACTGTGCTGTTGATGGCTGCGGGCAGAGAATTAATGTGCATTCTGTAAAAGCCAACGTCTGCGGAGGCTTTGGCTCTCAGCTCAGGGTGGATCATGTTCTCGAAGTGGAAACCAGGCTGGAGGGGCTTCACTGACGCTGTGCGCTGCAGTCAACAGAAGAACAGCATGCTCCACAATGCTGGACCTATTTCATGAAAAACCAAACCAAAGGATGGCATGCAGCATGGATGGAAAAATGAAAGGACGGCTCCTGCCAGCTTTCCTGGACGAAGTGGAGCTGAAGTTTGGCAGCAGAGAGACGAAGAAGAGGAAAGTTTAGAAGCTCATTTCCGCCCCAAACGCTATGTTTGAAGATGTCGTTGGATATTATGAGTAGATGAGTTCAGAAGAAAGATATTCCTTTAATTTAGCTGTCTTGGGTGGGTTTTACTGGAACAATTAAGCAAGTAGATTTTAATCCCTTTATGTTCATACACTGCATTTTCGCTCTTATTCTAACCCGATCCTTGTTTTTATTATGATGAGAAGAATCTGTGTATTATGAATCACATTAACCACCAAGATTTTGTAATTTGCAACACTGTGCTTCCTTCATCAGGTCCTATAACATCGGAGTGATATGTTATGGGTCTTCTAAAGACCTGATTTATGGGCTTTATCATTGGTCAAATACAGCTTGTGTGAACTGCGGTAACATGGAGACAATGATGTGATGGTCTGTAATGTGCATGAGGCTCAGATGCAGATTATCCCACTGCCATGCTGCCTCCATCCCACACAGCGTGACCCGAGCACTACGGAGGCTAAATTCACTCCTTATGTTACAGAGATTTATATTAGTTTCACCACCGGCCACAAGAAATACATCCGTAAAGGGATAGTTCGGACCCCGCAACTTTACTGTTTTGTTTCACTTTCATCAACCTCGTTTCCAGCAGCAGCAGCAGGCCACTGTGCGCTACCTGCCCAGCACCAAACGGCACACAGACACAGTTGGCAACTAGCTGTTGAACACAGTGGAACATTTATGAGCTTAAGAGCCAGATATTTCCCTCACAGGCTGGTGGAGATCAAATACAGAGCTAAGAGGAGAGTGAACATTGGACTTACAGTCACCAGGTGGCCCAAAACACAATGCCAAATATGTGCTAATGTTGCTCCGTATCTGCTGAAAGTTTTAGGTTTGCTATATCTTAAACTTAAAAAGTCAATAAAAAAATCTAGAAACTTAAAAGGCCAATAAAATAAAATAATTTAGAAAAAAGGTACAGCAGCGTCATGCATGTATCCATTCATTATCTATAGCTGTTTATTATCTGCAGGGTTGCTGCCCCGGCTCACATTGTGTGAGAGGCAGAGCTCACCGTATAACATATCACTCTCTTATTCACATCTACAGGCAATGTACAACTGGCTTGTCTTTGGACTGTGGGAGAAAAGATATGAAGGCGACCGCATATATGTATTTATTTGCAAATAATTCTTCCCACAAATGGTACAAGACTGTCTATTTATTTTTTGGGGGGAAGGGATTGGCAGTGTGATGAATGTTGAGAAATTAGTTGTTTTTTTTACGCTGAACTGTTTGATGCATTTTACAACGCAGTGCCTGAAGACAAATGTATGGTCAGTAGTGAGACAAGACAACACAAAAAATATAAAGGCAAGAGACAATTAAAAAAGAATAATATTCACCCGTAGTATATTATTAACAAGTTTATAAAACTAGCTCTTTTTCGCTGGAATTCCTCTGAATTCTTGAAATAGTTTCTGGCTGAAAATAGCGGCCTGGAGCCAGAACTGCACAAAACATTTCTCAATCGGACACCTTACTTGGCACTGACTGATAGTCTTTTATGATGTGTTGGCTGTTTTTAAACACAGCAGCCAAAGTGCATTCACACTCACCTTTTTAATGTGTCACATCACTTTATCAGCCAGCAACATTTCCAGTAACTTGTCACTGGCCTGGAGGTGAGGTGGGTTCAACTTCATGTCCTGTTTTTCACGATAATTATGGCAGCAGATTGGGCTGTTAGCAGAAGTCCAAACATATCAGGACTTCATAAATCAGCTCTGATCTCTCAGGGGGGTCTGCTGTGGAACTGAGAAAACAATGTATTAGTCTTTGACCCCTAAAATAAGAAATGTTTAGGAACACGGCTTGTTTCATTTGAATCTTCTCACACGGCGAGGCAGTCATGTTTTCCTCGCCATCACGTTCCCAGACACTTTATTTGTTTATAATCGCAAGGCACGGCTGAGAGGAATGTGTATGTTTTGCATCCTCTGATTTAAGCTTCCATATGTTTGCTGCACCCAAGGGACTTTGACAAGAAGCAAAGGAATTTAAATTTGGGGTTTAAATGTTCAGTAGTTGTTCCCACATGGGGGGGATTCGTTTGTTTGAGCTGCAATGCACTTGTAGAATACTTTCCCTTCTCATCCATCATCTCCTTTCCTCTCAGAGAACATCCTTACCCTAAAACCTGCATTAAATTCCTCCCTCAGCTTGGCAGCTCATCTGGTCTTTATTCTTGCGACCAATTGTTTCTCATAATAAAAGGATTTAGTCAAATTGCACTAATTTCGCTCCATTCTTTCTCCTTCTGTCTGCTTCCGTGTTTTTCTTTTTTCCCCTCCTTCCGTACAGATATCGATGAGTGCCAGGTCCATAATGGAGGCTGCCAGCACAGATGTGTGAACACCAGGGGCTCCTACCACTGTGAATGCAACCCAGGCTCTCGCTTGCACGTGGACGCCCGCACCTGCCTGGGTAAGGACCATTCACTGTGTGGCAGTGCTCACATTGTACTAGCTGGAAAGACTATCAAGTCTGCCCACTGAAATAATACTTTGGCCCTTTTAGGTCTTTGTTAGCATACTGTGATGTGATGTTACAATCACAGCTTGATTTGAGGTTTCATCCTTCCTTTATCCTATTAGAAACAGAGTATGACGGCCTGCAGAGTTTCCCCTTTGTAACGTGGCCACACTTGTTCAAAACTCACATAAACAATGAATCACTGGTTCAGAGGAACTAGTCCTCTGGAAGTCTTTACTGTGAGTGTTGTTTTTTTGGTCATTATATCATTAAAGTTTTGCCACAAATGCTTTTTGAGATGGGCACTTAATCATGTAAACCACATTCATGATGTTGCACAAGAAGACCCCTTTGATTCTGACAAAAAGCCCTATTATGAGATGATTAAAATAACGTTTGCTGGCAAAACCACACTGAGTTACAGTCAGTGCAGTTTTTATTCCCCTCAGTGGATATCTTGGAGAAAGATGTTTTCCTGTGACTGAATCAACTGGAGCACATTTGTATAAGGCTCCAGCTAACTGCTGTTTTCATGATTGACTAATCTGCTGATGAGTCTATTGATTATTGTTTGGCGGATAGAATGTGAGGAAATTGTGAAAAATGTCCAACACACAATTTCCTTGAGTGCAAGGTGTTGTCATTAAATTGCTTATTATGTTTAACCATCAATCCAAAACCCAGAGATCTTCAGTTTATAATCACACCGGACAAAGTAAAGCAGCAACTTCTCACACCTGAGAAACCGGAACCAATGATTTGTTTCTTGACAGATTTCTTACACAACTAATTGATTATCAAAAATAGTTGCCGATCTCGTTGCCCCAGTCTCTCGTCCCTGTTTCATCTCTCCACTGTCTACTCTTAATAAAGGAACAAAATACTATCCTACTAGTCATCTGACTATTAATTTAAGCTCTAGATTGTCTATACATAGAATAATGCTCTGTCTTTACTTCTCCTTTTCAATATATTAACAAGCGCAAATGCATTTTCATATATACATTTTTCTGTGACCCTGTTCTCTAGGTTTAAAAAATGTCCATGGGTTTGAACTTGTCCAATGATGTCTTGATCCCCTCCACTGCTCAATCTTTCTTTACAAATATACAAAGCCACCTATACATTGTATAAGTACTTGCAATTAAAACAAAGTACCAGAATTATTAAGAGAGAATGTAGAAAACTGTGAGTTGATTTATCAGTTTAGTTGGCCGTGGTTTCCGTACCTTCGTTTACTTGTAATTACAACCTTTCCCTCCATTAAATTCTGCTTGAGTGTTATTCCAAGGCTCACATGAGCTTCACATAAACCTGCTTGTTGTCCCGTTACTCCTGACCTCCGCTGAGTTTATGCAGCACCTGTATGTTATTTTTGTCATGCCAGATGCATTAGAATTGGATTTTTCAGAAATAACTGATGGAGAAAAAGAGTATAAACCTGGCACCACTTTCAGCAGTCAGGAATGTATACACACAGTGTCCTGACATTTAGAGTGGAACTCATCATGTGTTTCTTGGCTTCGTAATGCAAAGTTGTTTCATTGTCTTATGGAAGAGACACTGTAGCTGGGACCCAACTGTCCCTACCGTGCCCTTTTGTGACAACTGTTGCATGAAGAAATGACTGATTGCACCAATAATAGTGCACATCTGGACTGACTCCCAGGTGAAACTTGTCTGTGAGGCTGCATACCCCTCTGCTTATTGTCATGTTCAGATTGTGCAGAGGCAAGCTGCAAAGTGTGTGTTCACAAATAGATCAACTACTAAAGTCAACTCTGAACTCTCACTGTCTCATAAAAAGTGAATGAAAGTTTTTCTTTTTTGCACTATGCACAACATGACCACTTGCATACTGGACAAAGGAAAGCACATAGCAGTCAGCAGCACAGAGTGATGGGTAGAAACAGAAGAGCAGATGTCCTCAAATCAATTCAGTCTCAGTTCTGCTTGTCTTATCCAGCTGCTGATCTGCCAGCACAGGTCAGATGTATCCCACACACTTAGCGTGTGGCTGAATAATATTTGAGCTGGAAAGCTCCCTGCAGTTTGACGTGTACTTGTGATGGATGGTTCTTGACTCCTGCCTTTTTTGAGTATGAAAAACACCGGCTTTGAGGACGCCCGGCTGTTCTGCCTCTCTATACCTGCTGTTTTCGTTAAAGGGGTCGAGTCCAGGCCGACTACCGGGGTTTCATCTGTTGCTGTACGAAAAAGAGAGATGCAGACGGAGGGAAGATGATTGAGCTGGCTCTGCCTTCAATCTCATCAGTAATTGAGCGTTGTCCACCACAGAGGTCCTGTCTCTGTGATTGTTGGCTCTTCCTTGGAGATGGATCTTTTGTGGCTCAGAGCAAAGCAATTCTCTGAGGTATTCGCTGATTGTAGGAATGTCAGTACAGCGGTCATGACCTCTGAGAAATATCAAATCAGTCAAATCAGAAGTCAGAAAGAGCTATATATAAAACTGCAATTTGGATTTATAGGCATCGATTTGTTTTCTGCAAAGATGGTTGATTTTCTCATGTCTCTCTCTCTCTCTCTCTCTCTCTCTCTCTCTGTTCCTTCATTTAAGTTTTTCTACCCTTTTGTCACGTCTTATTTGTCCTTTTTATCCTCTGCTCAGCTGTTCATTCGTGTGCCATCAGCAACGGAGGATGTGAACACTACTGTATGCAGCAGTCTGCCGTTCATTTCCGCTGTCGCTGCAAGGCAAACTACATACTGGCAGAGGATGGCAAGCATTGTAAATGTGAGTGAAACTGTGGCGTAAGGGAAGACTTGACACAGGACAGAAAAGAGAAACAATAAATGGATCGGTGACTAAGGAAAGAGTGCCAATAAATCTGAGCACTTTGGAAGACTATGTGGGTGGGATTCTGAGGAGTTGATCATAACATTAAAAACCCATTTTCTGTATCTGCTGCCATTTGTAATTATCTGACAGCATGTTTGTGCTGGAGCAGGATTAACTGTCGTCCATGGAATGAGACATTGGAGTGAATCACAGCAGTCTGCCTCGTTGTTTTTTTTCCTGAAATTAATATTTTAATGTCCTTTCTTCTTTTAATGTTTCTGATGTCTGGGGCCTAGTTGAGTACAGTTCTCTGCGGGTGGGAAATTATACATATATGGATTTTAAATGACTGTCTCTCAGATACTTTCACCTTGTAATTGTTGGCTGAGAACAGCTTCCTCTAATGTTTGCAGAGCTGAAGGTTTCTCAACCCAGGTGCTGGACAGGCTTACACTTGTCAAACACACATAACTATGCAGAGAGGACAACATAGAGATGAGGTTGAGGTGCAAGGTGGCAGTGTGAATTTAAAGCTCTCCACCTGCTCTGCTTTAAGTTGTCAGTTTTTACGGTTTCTCCACCAGTGCCCCAGAAGTGTTCCCCACTTGACTGTCACCATCGGATTTATATTTATGAGTGTGTGCTTTTTGTGTTGCAGTGCAGAATCCCTGTGCAGATCAAAACGGAGGCTGTATGCATGGGTGTCGGGTTGATGGTGGGAAAGCTCTCTGTGGCTGTAAAGCTGGTTACATCCTGGCTGAAGACGGGAAAACCTGTGAAGGTAAATTCACCAGTAACAAACATTATGACATTATAATGATTATTTTTGTAGCTCAGAGTTAATCAAGTGATGGAAATATCAGAAGATAAACATAGAAAATGGTTTACAAAACAGTATTGCCACATTTAGTAGCTGCTCTGGAGCTTTTGATCATCGCACACTAATGTTCCTCAGCAGATGAAGTTTACCCAGTTGACATGGAGTTAAAGCTGTAGAGAGGTTTAAATTTATTTTTTCGTAGCGCTTTAACATTTTCTCTTCCACTTTGGCTCAAAAGTTTGATGATTGAAAACAGCAGAGAAATAGAAATTGGAAAAAACTACATTTCCATGTAAACTGGGCAAACTCGGTCTGCTGCAGAAGCAGAGTGGGGGTTTCTGGCACAACTTCTCCAACTTTCAAGATGCATGGAGAAAGGAAAAAGTCTGGAGAGGTTAAAACTCCAGCAACACTTAGCTGAAACTTGTTGGTCCCACCATAAAGCTGGACACTCTGTCTGCTGACAAAGACTGTTTGATACAGTTGAAAACTTCAGAAAAGCAAATTTGAAAGCCCATGTTTACTATTGAGTTAAAAGTTTGTGCAAACATGGATTTAGTTTGATGTAAATGAACCTGTGCACAACAGATGTATTCCTCCATTGTATTCAGTATTTTTTTTTAACATATTTTTGTCACAGATATCGACGAATGTGAAATAGAACAGGCCGCCTGTGCTCACGGCTGCCACAACACACTGGGCTCTTACGCCTGTGTGTGTCACGCTGCCTATGAGCTGGGATCTGATGGAAAACAGTGTTACAGTAGGATTGAACTCCATTAACACGATCACATGCATAAAAAAACGATATATTTAGTTATTACAAGATATTTGAGTTCTTTAATTAACAGACATTATCTCGCTTTGAACTCGTTACAGGAATCGAGATGGAGATCGTGAACAGCTGCGAGAACGACAACGGAGGCTGCTCGCACCGCTGCCAACATTCAACCAGCGGGCCTGTTTGCTCCTGTAACCAAGGTTACAGGCTAGACGACGACCTCAAAACCTGTGCTGGTAAGAAGCTGTGATGTACTTGCATTGACTGGAAAAAAAATGCTTATAACAAATTATAAGGCACACTTAAAAAATACATCAGCACTCATCCACGGCAGAGGAAAGTAAAGTAAAACGGGGATCTAGTCTACACAGCCTCTGACATGGAGAACTAGTATGTTTTATGCAAGTTAAAGAAAAGATAAATCATCTTTTGGGACTTTGGGGGATATGTAGGACTCTCAGTTTTTACCGCTAAACCTGTACAAGTTACATGATTCTGCATGATTTCTGTCAGTGAGCAGGGAAGCATATCACTACAGGCAGCTCCAAATTTGATTCTCCCTGCTTGTTGTGTTTGGCAGACGTCGATGAGTGTGGAGAGCAGAGCTCCTGCTGTGAGCAGGACTGCACCAACTATCCCGGGGGTTATGAATGTTACTGCTCAGCAGGATACAGACTCAACTCAGACGGATGTAGCTGTGATGGTATGTGTATGGCACTCACACTTGAGTGCCATACAATGAGACTGAATATTTCCCCGTGTTGAATTTGGGAGAGTTCTAGTTTGACTCCGAAGGCGTCGACGCAAACATGCACAATGTTGTCTTTGTTTAAGTTTAACGTGTAAAGCGAGTACTGCTCAGTTGAATTGCTTTGGCTTCTCTCTTGATGTAGCAAAAGTGTTTGAGTCTGTTTGTTGCGTCTGTGTGGTTTAGATGTAGACGAGTGTCTGGCATCTAATGGCGGTTGTGATCACACGTGCCAGAACAGCGCGGGTTCCTTTCAGTGTTTCTGCCGCCGGGGTTTCCGCCTCGACGAGGACCGGCAGTCCTGCATCCGTAAGTATCAACATTTAATAAAGAGAGTGGCCAAGTGTGAATCACACCAGAAACATGCCAACGGAAAATCTGCCAAACTGTTGTTATCGTAATGCAAAAACATCCTGTGTACAGAATTGTTCACTTGGGATGGATATCGCAGTGATAAAACATAGAGCGTATACTCTTTTCTTAATTCTTTTTTTGTGTGTTTATTGGTTTTCAGTTTGTGTTTTACAAACAAAAGAGAGAAAAGGACAAGACATTAATAAATGAATGACAGAGGACTTAAGACAAACAAAAACACATGTTGCTCATGTTGCTTAATAATTCAGCATGGAATATTTGTTGCTGTTGTGTGTCCAAAAATAAGGACACGGGTAATGTAGCTCCTCTAAGAGGACGATCGTCTCCGGTTACGCTGTATATGGTAATCAAAGGATCAAGTTCTAAGTTCCCAAAAAACATCTGATAGTTTGGAAAATAGATTTCTATTAGTTGGTCATTTAAGGGCACGGGATAAGTTTTACTTTGGAATAATGAAGACGACGTACCTTAAACTATATTAGTTCATGCCAGATGCATATTGATGCTATATGTACATTTATCGGCATCTTACAACTGGTCCTTCATTATATCCGATCCCAAATCAATCTCCCAAGCAGATGTTTTGCAAACTAGATAAATAATCAAAAGCTATTGTTGCCTTAGCTAAGAGATCGAAAGAACAATGATTCCATGGATGCATTGTTGGGCAGTCTAGGAGAGGAAGATGTGTTGGATTTAATAAAATTGCGGATTTGCAGAAATCTGAAGAATTGTGGAAGAATAAATTGAATGTGCAACTGTTCAAATGAGGGCAATATTCCATCAATGTAAAGAGCTTTCATAGTTTCAACACCGACATGTTTCCACAACTCAAATGACGTGTCAGTTATGGAGGGAGGAAAAAATGTGTTTGAGGGATGGAGGAGCAAGAGGAGAATTAATTTACAATCCAAACTGTTGCTTTTTTTAAGGGACTGTGTAACAATTGGGTTATCTTTTGTATAATTTAAAGGCAAAGGTAGTGAAGAGAAAATAAGTGGAGATAAGGCGGTAGGGTAATATGACGCCTGCTCAAATCTGCAGTCAGGCTGGATCATTATCAGGCTTGGATGGTTGGACCCAGAAGAAGAGGGTGTGCATGTTACATGCCCAATAATCTAACTGAAAGTGAGGGAGTCCCATACCCCACTAGGTTTCACTTTTTCTTTCTTTCATTCTTTTCTTATTCTCTATATGTTTTTTTTGTTCCAAATAAAATGAGTTATTATCTAGGTCTGTAAAAAAATACTTTTTAATAAGGGCCGGAATGCAATGAATTAAAAAGATTTTTTTTTTGTAGTGTATTCATTTTAACAACATTGATTCTTCCTGCTAATGAAATGGGGAGATGGGACAACTGGAAAAAACAGGATAGGCGTCAGGTTTAGTAATATTAACAGCCAATCACAGCTCCCTTATTTTTAACTTTTTTACTTCGCCCTCTCTTGACGTACTATCAAATTGTAAAACAAAATGTATCTCATTAAAATGGTGTATTTTTGTTCACTTGTTTTGAAACAGAGATTTATTCAAAGACAACATAAATGAAATGTACCTTCACTGTATATTGTAGTGTGTGTACCTAACTTCCTTCTTGTCTGTCTCCCCACAGCACTAGAAGATACAGTTGAGGCCCTGTCCAGCGGAGCTGCCATCGAGTTGCCCCTCATTCAACCCCTGCTCACCTTGATGCAGGACTACAACCAACCCCTAGAGCGCTATGACGACTACGAAGACGACGAGGGGGAGCTGAGGGCCGAGAGTAACCTGGCAGAGAAATTCGGTGAGTTTTCCCCCTCAAAACCATTAGCCGCTCATTATCATTAAGAGCAACCTGTATCTGATTACCTGACTCGCGGGAGGTGAAGGTGTCTGACAGACTCATTTACTGCAGGCAGGAACACACCACATGGTGGGCCTTAATTACTGTGCTGCATGCTCCCAGACTGTCTGTACACACTGTAACACCACAGCTTCTTTGGCAGGAATGCTGAGGCTTATATGTCCTGGCAGCCCGTAACAGGAAGTCCAAGGCTGTGTTGAGTGTCGCCCAAACTTGGACTCTTTTGACAACGGCAGAACATTTAATGTGCAACGCTACTTCACAGAAAGTTGACAAAAACTAATTTAAATATATTCATTTTTTTTAACCTGAGTGTGTATAGATAACTTTGCACCTCATAACTTTACTGAAACTTCATAACCTTGAACATATTTATAACCTCTGAAATCCAATGAGAAAAACGTTCTGAGGCAGTTACTGAACTTTTTTTATGAGCATCAGATGTCATGACTAGAGTTTAGATATGATTAAAATAGATAAATTCATCCTTTACTGTGAACTGTTATGACTCAGATGGGTGTCGGTGTAAAAGAGTAGTGTGAACTTCATTCATTACTCTCACTATTGTTGTTTTCAGTGTGTTTGGATGACACTTTCGGCAATGACTGCAGTTTGACATGTGACGACTGTTCTAATGGAGGAAAATGCAATCCATGGAAAAATGGCTGCGACTGTCCTGACGGATGGATAGGCGTCGTCTGCAACCAGAGTGAGGATTGGCTCAAACATATACAGACGCTGAAAAACATATGCATGTGTATCAAATTAGTCAGTATGACAGATTAGCAGTAATGGACCCGTTTATGTTTCAATTTCACAGCTTGTCCCGAGGGACATTTTGGTAAAAACTGCTCCTTCCCCTGTAAGTGTAAAAATGGTGCCACCTGTGATCCGGCCACTGGGAGCTGCCGCTGTCCTCCTGGGGTCAGTGGAGACGTGTGTCAGGATGGTGAGTCATCCCAATTTGTCCAAGCCAACATTTTTTGTGTCTTAATCTTCAGTGAAAACATTTCTCTCCCACCGTGGGAGCTAGTTAAGTTTACTATGAGTTGTGTTCCTGTGTGCAGGCTGTCCTAAGGGCTTCTATGGGAAGCAGTGCAATAAGAAGTGTAATTGTGCCAATAACGGGCGCTGCCACCGAACCTACGGAGCCTGTCTGTGTGATCCTGGACTCTACGGACGCTTCTGCCACCTCCGTAAGTCTCATTGTCCTAACATTAACAGACTCACACCCTTGAAATCATTGTTTGACAGACTCTCTGAATTCTACTACCATTCAATTTCAAGTATCCAAATGAAATAAAACAGGCTTACAAATTCTCCTATTGTGGCTATAATTTTAACGTTGCATCATATTTTGCTTTGTGCACCATCCTGTTATGACGCCATCTCCTCCTTCTCTATTGTCCTTCAGCTTGTCCGAAGTGGACCTTTGGTCCCGGCTGCTCTGAGGAGTGTCAGTGTGTCCAGCAGAACACTCTGGAGTGTCACCGCCGCCACGGCCCCTGTGTCTGTAAATCGGGTTACCAGGGCAACACCTGCAAGGAAGGTGAGCACGCTATCGCAGTGATCATCAACGACTCATCAACACACCGTACTTACATTTACCGTAGGCTGTTTTCTGTTCTGAGGTGTTATTACTGTACAAGTACAGCACGGATTACAGATGACGGATGTTGTTTTAACAAAAAGGGGGCCAAAACTGTAACAAATGTACAGTATGAGTCAGTGGAGGAGAACCAAATCCCCTCTAAATAAAGGCAGAAAAGCATTGAGGAGATCATTGAGCCACTTATTACAAAGCAGGAGGATGATTTCCATTCTCTCATATAACAGTTGTCATAACAAGGTAATTGAGTGCTCTGTCCCGTTCTTCTAGAATGCAACCCAGGTACTTACGGAGCCGGTTGTCAGAAAAAGTGCTCCTGTCCACCGGGAGTGTCATGTGATCATGTGACTGGAGTGTGCCAACGAAAATGCCCTCCCGGTCTTCATGGAGAGAACTGTGATCAGGGTAGGTGGCCCTACCGAGAACACGTTTTCCTCACGCTAAGTGTTTGTCCTCCCGTGTTGAGACAAGGCTCTTCTATGTGTCCCGTGTCAGACTGTCCAGCGGGAATGTTTGGAGCAGGCTGCGTCCATCCTTGTAACTGCACAGGCGCCCCGTGTGATAAAGTGTCGGGACGATGCAAGTGTCCGGCGGGGACGTCGGGAAAGCACTGTGAGAACTGTGAGTGCAAATATATTTTGAGTGTAAATAACCACGCATATTTTACATGATAAAATTGATAAAAATGTGTATCTTTTTCACAGTGTGTCCCGAGGGTTTTTGGGGATCAGGCTGCACAGAAACCTGCCCTGTTTGTGAGAATGGCGGCGTGTGTGACAAACACAACGGGTCATGTAACTGTCCTCCAGGGTTAATGGGCAGATTCTGCCAGAACTGTGAGTATCAGCGGTGTGCATTTTTTGGTTTCCACAGCAAAATGCATTTGACAGTCAACCAACTGAGGAGGAATGGCAGCAGCACGGTGGAATATGGAAAGTTCTCAGTGGTGCAGCTTGGACAAGAAATAGAACAAAATGTCAGAAGACAGAGGAGCAGTTTTTCTCCGAGGACATTAGCTAAAATTCTTCAGCTGCCGGAAAATCACCTCAGATATACTTCACTGGGAAGAACAAATATAATTCCATTTCAAAAAACCACTGGCTCTTAAAGCCTCATTTGACGGCTGAATCACAGAAACAAAGCTGTCATGGGAACTTGCTGTGCTTTCATGCTATCTGGTGAAGTTTGTTCTGGTAGAATAGTCTTGCTGATTTTCAATTTTTTTTATTTTTCCTTGTGCAGCGTGCCCGAGTGGACATTTTGGTCAAGCTTGCCAAATGAAGTGTGTGTGTGAGAACAACGCTCGCTGTGATCCGGTGAGCGGGCGGTGTACATGCGCTCCTGGCTGGACTGGACACAACTGCAGGAAAGGTAACGGCGCTGGAAGGCATTTGTGAACACTCATTGTTATTGTCTGACACTCAAATGGGATTCTTCTGTTGCAGGCTGTGATGGAGGCCACTGGGGGGAAGACTGCGCAGAAACATGCGACTGTAGAAACGGAGACGGCAGCTGTGACGCCGTGACGGGCCAGTGCAACTGTGAGGCTGGTTACACTGGAACACGCTGCCACCAGAGTATGTAGTTAGTTATGTGTTGAAACATTTAAAGACCACAGTGTTCTATCTGTAATGATTCTGAGTTAATATGTGTCCTTTTTTAAATTATTATCACAGAATGATTCAGGCTTTTGTTAGGATAAAAAATACGACAACGTTTTTGCACACCAGAAAGTCTTGTTGACATGCACGTCTCATGACATGAAGGAAACTAAAACTCCTGCTCACTGTCGATCACTTTATTAATGTTTCCGTCTGAGATGAAGGTTTGAGGATTGAAATGTCTTTAATAAAATGAGCGTGAGTGTGAGTGGTGTCTTGGCTTTCTCAGTTTGTAGAAAAATGAAACAAATATCTGTTGGGAATTCATTCATTGGCAGTTTGCGCTATCATTCTCGGTGCTACCACCAGATAGTGCCAAAGCAATAATTTCTAATCCTAAATGAATACAAAAAAGTTTCTCTGTGAGGTACTTATTTTGTATTGTAGAATTGTGTCATTCTAAAACCAGCCTTTATAAAACATGACATTGGACAGGAAATGTTCAACATGTTTTAAAGCCACATATCACTAGTCTGTACGTCTAAAGTGTGTGTGTGTGTGTGTGTGTGTGTGTGTGTGATATTCCCTCAGAGTGCCCATCAGGTATGTTTGGTCTTAGTTGTCGCCATCGGTGTCAGTGTGACAACAAGGCCTTGTGCGACCATGAGAGCGGAGCTTGTACCTGCCAGGTGGGATGGACTGGAACCTTCTGTGAAAAGCGTAAGAGACGCTCCTTCACATCACAAAGGCAAATTCACCTACTAAATGTGTATACAGTATATGCCAGTAACGGGTAGCCTTACCTGTGTGTGTGTGTGTGTGTGTGTGTGTGTGTGTGTGTGTTTCAGCGTGTCCTCAGGGTTTCTATGGACTAGACTGCCAGGAGAAATGTTTGTGTCTAAACGGCGGGAGCTGTGACCACGTCAGCGGAGTTTGTTCCTGTCCTGCTGGCTGGATCGGTCCATTCTGCAACCTGAGTGAGTGACGGGTGCACAACAAATAGTTATGAAGTTAACGGGGGCTGGCGTCACTCCAGTGTTATGAAAGATGGTATCAGGTCATTTGTATAGCTGCATCGAAGCACTGAGAACATCTTTGTAACGCAAGTAATATGGGGAAACCCAGTTCAGTCGCACATGAGAAAGCACCGACTTGATGTTCCCCATGCTATGGCCTGTATCGCTTACCAGACACTGGAATTTCCACTTTTGATCAGCAAAGTTCACCAGGAGGTAATGATATTGTTTGTCCCTCTCCTGGCAGCGTGCCCAACCGGTTTCTATGGAGGAGGATGTAACCAAACCTGTAGCTGCCGTAACGATGGCATCTGCCACCCGGCTGGTGGGCAGTGTGTGTGCATACCTGGCTGGACCGGACCCAACTGCACAGAAGGTGAGTGAACGCAACATAGAGCTAAGTAATCATCTGTATGACGGGTAAATACGGGTGTCACAATATGGTTTTGTCCGTGCGTTATTTTCCCAGAATGCCCTCCAGGGTTTTATGGAGCAGACTGTCAACAGCGCTGCCTGTGTCAGAATGGGGCCACCTGCAACAAGAGCAACGGAAAATGTTCATGTGCCAGTGGCTGGATGGGCACAGCCTGTGAACTCGGTAAGACTCCGAAATGCTGTAAGAGTCTCCGTGTATGTGACCACAAAACCACCTGCAGATGAATCATTTTAAGGAAAATTCTCTATATTACAACTCGGGTCTAATTTTTCTACATTTGGCTGCCATTTATAATAACATACTCAGATCTGGGAACATTTTTTTTGGCAAAGGTTGACGGGGCAAAAGATGATCAGACAGGTTGTGAACAGGCCAAAAACTGTTTGCAAGTCCTGTAGGTCAAAGTTGAACCAACCAATGTCTGTTTCTAAAATAGCCCTTCTTTTAACTTCCAAATAAGTCTGGCTAACGAGGAAAACTGTTTAAAACATGTATGACTTCTGGCGTGTCTTGCCTTGTCAGACTTGTTTTGAGCAACTTTGCCATATTCCCAGTACAGTACAGTGCAACTGGTCCAAAATCTGAATTTCCCTTTAACTTTGTACTACTTTCTTTTGCCCTCTGATACGCTGCCTAAAGTTTTCTCCAGAAAATGCCTTTCCCTTTCCTTTTCCTTTTCCTCATCAAGGGTATAAGAATAGAGGTAACGCAGTGGTAGAGCGGGTCATCCTTCAATCAGAAGATCACTTAACCCCAACAGGACAGACATGTTGGAATTGAGCCAAAATGAGAAATGAAACACATGCACTGATTTATAAACATTTATTGTTATCGATGATAATCTGATAATTTATCTCGATATACACTTTAGGCTGTTTGGCCCAGCTCTACAAACTTGGATAATTCAGCCTGGTCTTGTAAAGCCATAATGATTTCTGTTAGTCTGTACAGCAATGCAGAAGAATAACATTACCTGAACCCTAAACATGTATGGCCTGTGGTTGTTTTACTATGCTCAGGAAATACGTGAGTCTGAGTTCAATCTGCTGCCTTAGCTCATTTGTTTTTGCAGAGTTTGTTTCTGAACCACGAATGGGTCTTTTCCGTAAAAGTCTCTGCCGACCCGGCGAAAGCGTTCCAGCTTGTTCTCCCTTTGAGCTCCATATCACACACTATCCTCCCTCTGTGCCTGTTACAACCTTTCCCTGTCCAGCCATGCCAGGCCCAGCCCCCTCGTCATGCTCAGGAAACCTCTAATCCTGTGGCTGGAATGCCTTGATTTCCAGCTTTATACTAAAAATAATTGGGAAAAAAAACATGTTGCAGCCCTTCAGCAGAAATATGACAACACACGATAGTTCACACCATGATATCTCTGTTTTGGTTCTCTTTCTTGTCTCACGTGGGTTTCTACTCGTGCGCGCTGCTGTATGTTTGTACAGAGTGTGCGGTGGGCCGGTTCGGGACGGACTGCCAGCAGCAGTGTGAATGTGAGAACGGCGGCCAGTGTGACGGACTGACTGGACGGTGCAGCTGCAGCAGCGGCTGGATCGGAGAGCGCTGTGAGAAAGGTGAGCCAGTGAGTCTCTGCTGCACAACTGAAGCAACTAACTAATGAACCAACAGAAACTTTGACCTTATGGGAACTGCTGCGCAGTGGAAACTGTTGGACTGGCAATATTGTGTAATTTTTGTTCATTTTAACCTCTAATTTGCACCTTCTTCACTCAGCATGTGAACCAGGCCTGTTTGGTGCCGGCTGCGAGGAGAGATGTCATTGTGTGCACGGGGATTCATGTCACCACGTCACTGGAGCGTGTCAGTGTCCACCAGGCTGGAGAGGAACACTCTGTGATAAAGGTGCAAGCTTGCGGTTAAAGACACTGGTGCTCTTGCAGCCCCTGCTGGACGGAGTTTGTCCTGAAATTTTGATAATTTTCCAACATCTACATGCAGGGATACAACTTGTTTCTCATATGTTCTGCTCTATTTACTTGATATACTGTATATGTATCACTCTGGTTCTTCAAGTTGTATTGCTGCTTCTTTCTACTGCGTAATATATGCAACCTAGGTTTCTTCTCTGTTATCCGAATTTAGGATCTAAGGATAATATCATTTTAAAGGCCTCTGTGGTGAATTAATAATGTTGGGGCTATATTAATAAAATTGACTTGACCAAACAAAGCAACAAAGAACAAACTAAATATACTAACTCATTATAGATTAAAAAAAATGACAGACTGGTTAACGTCTACAAGTAGAGTATGGATAAAGGTGACTATGCAGAATATGTCTCCCCAAATTATAGCTATAAACATCTTGTATTGTTTTGACTTTGTTTACTTTCAGCTTGTTTGCCGGGTGTGTATGGAAAGGGTTGCATGCAGCACTGTGGCTGTGCACAGGGCACATCCTGCCACCATGTCTCTGGAGACTGCGGCTGTCCTCCTGGATTGACGGGAAATGGCTGTGAGCAGAGTAAGTGCTGCAGGACCAACTTCTGCCTCCAGTCCATTTAGAAGGGTTGCGTTGCAGGTTTTATTAACTCATCCTTGCATTAATAAAACCCATTTAAGATGCATCAGGAAGCAAGAACATCTCTATCAAACTGTACACTTAAACCTCTCCCTCTCTCAGCTTGTCTACCAGGAACATTTGGACAGAACTGCAATCAGGTCTGCCATTGCTCAGAGACGAACCAGCTCTGCCACCCGGTGTCTGGATCATGTTACTGCGCTCCAGGTTTTCATGGCCCCAGATGTGACCAAAGTACATCAAATAGGATAATTATACCTTCCAGACATATCACATTACAGTGAAGCAGAGGCCTTCTAGAAGTACTAATTCTCTGCTGTTTCAATTTCATTTTCAGTTTGTGGAAAGGGTCGTTATGGTCCAAACTGTGAAAGCGAGTGCCAGTGTGAAAATGGAGGGAGGTGCATTCCTTCTACTGGAGCCTGTGATTGTCCAGCAGGTTTTATAGGAGCACGCTGCAACATCAGTGAGTCCATCTAAAACTGTGCTAGTGATGGTGGCTGAATTAGTAATACACGTTAGCATGGGATGACAAGTATCTGGTGTGTGTGTGTCTCGTGGTGACAGCGTGTCCAGCTGGGCGTTACGGAGTCGACTGTGCTCGGGTGGCGCTGTGCGGAGACGGAGCCCAGAATGACCCGGCCACCGGTCGTTGTATGTGCATCCCTGGTCGAAGAGGAAAGGACTGTGGACACGGTCAGTTCTCAGTACTGTTGATACAGTTTGATGTGCCATTTACTGGCACTGCAATAACCTGCACCTGAATATTCTACATTACACACTTAGTGGTGAAAGCTTTTGCCTCCCAAACAGCGGATCACTGGTTTGATTCCTCTTCTGTGACCAGTGCTGATTTTTCAAATTTAGGGAATATAAATGTTCAATAATTGGAATAGAAAGTTTACAAAAATCAACTAAGGATATGACCTCCAAAAGAATTGTAAAGAGAAAACACAACCGAGTCAGACCAGTTAAGACATAATTTTATTCTTACATGTTTGTCTGTGTGTAATATTTCTGTCACATATTTTGTCCTTGTAAAATAGTGGAAGATTAGGGTTCATGTGAGACAGTGAAAGCCCTTATGTGCACACTTAATGTGATTGGACGGATATAATTAATATGCGTATTGTATCAGGTTTATTACAGTAATTGTGCTCACTGTTTTCAACAACACCGCCACTACATCATCATCATCATCAGTCATACATTATTTGCGGTTTCAAAGAACACCTTGAATGTCACAGTGAACCAACCTTAAATGCATCGCTATCATATGTAACATAAGTACTTGATTGCCATCTCTGGTTTATCGCTGACCTATTGCCTTCAATGAGTCTGTGAACAACCTTGTATTTTTGAAAAGATGTAATCTGATTATTTCAAGTCTAGACTCCTAGGAGCCTAGACTTGAAATAATGAAATTAGGAATTTCATTTGGACTATGTGTTCACTGTGATGGATTATAAACGTTGGACAATTTTTGTGTCTGTATGAGTTGTTTTGCACCAAATGTCACCTTCAAAAGGGGAGAAATTAACTCCTAATAGCTGCAAATAGTCTGCAGTTACAGGCAACATTCGGGCGTATTTTAACGAAGAAAAACAACATTTTTGTCATCTTGTATTTTGTTCTGTTTTGATAGTGACACAAATGATTTCTGCAGTTCAATTTCAAGAGTGCATTTTCCAACTTAGGTTGCCTTCCAGGCTGGTTTGCGGCGAACTGTGCTGAACGCTGTAACTGCAGTAATGGTGGAGTGTGTGACTCTGTGACTGGAAACTGTACGTGCAGTCTGGGTTGGACTGGTTCACACTGCGATAAAGGTGACACACGCTTTTATAAATCTTGTTTCTTAATGCAGTCAAGCTGATTATTACATGTATGATCTGGCAAACAGAGACACTAGTGTTAACTCATGAGGTTGATTTTTCTTCTTTTTTTTTGACTGCGTCGTCCTGTTTCATTCGATTGTCTCTCAGAATGCCCTGCGGGCAGATTTGGTGCCAACTGTCAGCTGAAATGTAACTGTCAAAACAACAGCACTTGTGACAGAGTGACAGGGACGTGTCGGTGTGGTCCAGGCTACTATGGACATCTGTGTGAACATGGTGAGAACTGAAGACACACAACGAGAGACATAAGAGCCGTAAAATATAAATCAGGTAGCCTAAAAAAAGGGAACTATATTTATGTGACCCTTTTTTAGAAATTAACATTTTCAGTTGGAAGCATAGGCTCGGGGATAAGGGCAATACATGGTTGGTTTTGATCTTTTCACAGAATTGGTTGAAAAGTAAAAATATAGATTATTGCTCAGAATTATCCCTTAAAGTATTTAATATTATTGTGGGACACAAAAAGCACAAGGCCAAAACCAGTAATGAGCAGCTAGTGTGAATGTAATAGGGTTGGGTATCATTTTGAATTTTTCAAGACAAGTGCCTGTACCATCTGAAGTAACACAAAATAGAAATACTAGATCACCAATACTTAAGTAACAGTACCTCAAAATGACAGTGAAGTACAGTACTTAGTGCTCTTACTTCCACCTCCCTTGGATACCCAACCCTTGTTTATCATTGTTGAGGACAAACGCAAGACTAAAGCATCCGGGCTTATATATTTAACTAAAGCTTTTACTCTTGAGGTGTCAAAGTTCCACTCTGGGGTTCACACAATCATTAATCCAGTGGGGACATTTTAAATCATTGAGGTCGGCTTTAAATCGTGTGGCATGTGTCCCTCGTCTTCAGCCTGTCCTCCTGGTCTTCACGGCCCGCTGTGCCAGCTGCAGTGCGACTGTATGAACGGAGCCTCCTGTCACCCAGCGTCGGGCCACTGCATTTGTCCTCCAGGATACCACGGAGCTCGCTGTCACAGAGGTCAGTCAAATCACTGCTGATTACCACGATGTAATGATAGGATTACTGGCATTTCTAAGCCTAATTTATCCTTTTTTGAAAATGTTGTCTCGTCCCCGACTCCTCTCTCAGGGTGTGAACAGGGTACCTTCGGTCATGGCTGTGCCAAGGTGTGTGACTGTGAGGAAGAATCTCCATGTGATCCTGTGAGAGGAAGATGCCTCTGCTCCTCGGGGAAGACTGGACTCAAATGTGACATTGGTAATCTTCTAGCCTGTTTCTGACTTTGAGAATGCGCACACAACAAAGTCATAGTATAGCATGATGAAAAATTCCTAGTATGTAAATTAAAGAGGGTACAGTGTCATACAAACTAATGGAAAAGTCATATTATCATATGTAGTAAAAAAAGCTCGCCCAAATGCTGTTTGCAGGGCTTATATTACAAAAAATATCGTATCTCCTGAACGCTTTGTGCTATTGGAACCACATTTGGTGGAGCTATGTCGCTATGATTTCTGAATTACTGAAACTAAATTAAGTGGCGCTGTTGCATCTTCATCTTGCTATAAATCAAGGAATCTCTTATCTGAGAACACTTTACCTGTTCTACTTGACATTTGGTGGGTGGATTGCCGGGGACCCCGAAGTGTTGGAAGTTGGTACAATTTGGACAGGCGGCACTTTCAATATTAACAACTAAGCTGTGGAATAGGTTGAGCATGTCCTTGGCAGCGGGCGTTTACAGGCCGCGTCTCAGTCAACGAAAGATGAGCGGCTCTCAGCACCTCCGGGGGCCGAGCGCCGAACATTTTCCAAAATGTCAAACGATTGCTTTAGAATTACACGGACCTCTGTGTAGTTTTTGTTAAACTGTGTGTATTTGCGTCTCGTGTCAGACTGCAGAGCGAATCGTTACGGGCCAGACTGCGCAGAGACCTGCGAGTGCGGCAACGGGTCGCAGTGCGACAGACGCAACGGCCGCTGCAGCTGCCTGCACAGCTGGATCGGACTCTCCTGTCAAGAAGGTACACAGGAATGACAAATCATGGTGACTGACACGCATGCATCCCTAGTGTCTCATCGGTTATCTCACTGCATCATTACATCCATGTAATCAGCAGGCGACGATCTTTGCCAACTCGTGAATCATCGGAACAGAACATTTTAGCCGACTTTGTGAAATGAGAGTAAATAACTAGTTCTAGTGCCGACGGCGTTCAGTTCCGGCAGAGCCTGCACTTTCTCCTTGGTGTCGTGTTTGTTCTGATCAAATATGAATGCGTGTGTGTGTGTGTGTACGTGCTGAGTTGCACTCACGGCTCATTATGTGTGTCCCCAGGTGGACCTCCACGCATCCCCTACAGCAGAAGAGGAGACTCGCAGCATGAGAACTCGTTATAGCACCGCCATCTAGCTGGAAGACTCCAACTGGGACAGATCAGCCACATTTTACTGAAGTGGCTCAACAGAGGGAAAGATTGCGACAGGAAGAAGTAGCAGGCAGCTGGAAGACCTACATGGAAATAGACTTTCTGATGAGAACTGCCGTTTCATGTTTGGACCAGAGCTGGATGATTTTTTTTTTTTGCGTGCCAAAGTGTCCGAACTGTCAGCCTGACCTGCCACAGCGGTACTTTGTGAGTTTCTTGCGGTCATGGTGGATCAGCGAACCTTTTAGTCTTCAGGATTAAAATCGCTCAACTACTGCATCCGCAGAGTGCAGTGTCAGGAGATTGTGGTTGCGTTTACTGCACTTTCGGTATTTTGCGTTGAATATTTTGTCCTTGAAATACCTTTTGCAGGTACTGTGCATAAAATAATCTAATTTTGTAAAGGAAAATTGCTGGAGATGATGCAACCTCAGTTTCTGAAAGCGTATTTGCCAGTAGTATGAATTTTGTTTTTTAAAATCTATTTGTTATGAAGTCCTACCCTCAGTCAAATGGTGCGTTACTGTACAGTGCAACAAAGACTTTAATGATGTTCACACATTCCTGTTGATTTAATATCTTAATTGACAGCTGGAATTTTACAGTTCATTGTGTCACTAAACTACACATTTGCACCTTCTTTAAGGTTAAGCGTCTAAATATTTTTCTTTGAATTGATTGTGTGTATAAATTGCTTCATATTTATATTTCCCACAGTTGTATACAGTTGAATATACCACAGGTTTGAAATGCGTTCTTTATTTTCTGCTGGATAAAAGGGACGTTTCAGCTCTCAAATAAACCCAGAATGATATTTCACACATGAAGCCAACAAAGACAGACGCATGAAAGGTTAGTTTCCCATTATTTTATCATTGAAGATCGAAGCTGTACATCCTGTCTAAATTCAGATTCAAGCACAGTGCAGATAGCAACGCCTGCAAAAGAAAACTAAAAAAAGAAAAGGCAGAGGTGAACACAACCAAAAATATATACAAAGGTCAAACTATGTACAGGAGATACCAGACTATCGACGTCATCTTCAGAATGAATTCAGTCCACCATTGCATTCACCTCACAGCATTCCTCATCAATGCATACACAACACAAAGAAATGACTTGTTTTTGTCCGTCTTAAAATCGATACGACACTGAAAGGAAAAATGCAGCATGATGAAAAAAATAAAAACTGTTCTTTTGATTCTGTTGACTGCATTAAAAGGCTAAAACGTAAAAATATATTCTCTGTATAACCTAGAGTAAAATAAGCTCTATCCACCGCTGGGTCCGTTTTCATCTCTGAACTAGTCATTACAATGTTGGAACAGCAAATATGAAGAAACTGACCTCTTAGAGCATGACTTACTACACTTCAGCCTTAAAACATTGAGTTATTTCTACAATGTGCAGAAACCTTTGAACACCATAAGATCTTTGTTGGGCAGGTCAGCACGGTGTGAAACAACACTGGTGGTCAAACAAAACGCACAGCGATACCATTTAAATGGAAAGTTTGACATTTTGGGTGATGCGCTGAATCGCTTTCTTTGCTGAGAGTTCGATGAAAAGATTGAAAAGATATTTAACACACGTCTGTACGTTAAAAACGAAGCCACCGCCAGCAGCCTAACTTGGCTTAGCATAAAGACTGACAACCGCTATCATGACTCCATACAAAGGTAATACAGTCTGCCGACCAGCAGGTCCAAAGCTCGCTACTTTAGACGGTATATGTTGTTAGTTTCTTCTTCACCAAAAACCTAAATGTGCTGTTTTATTGGGGGAAATTAACAGGTCTTGTGTCAAAGTGAAAACATGGTAAGTTATCAACCTTTTAGAATTTTAACTTTCAGTGAGAAAGCGAAAAAGTCCCAAAATGCCGAACAAAGTCTCAGACGTCCCCCCCGCTCCCTGCAGATGGAAAGATTAAGACACAAGAACCCCACAGACTAACTCAACTAAATGTTCTTTGCTTTTCTCTTCTTCTGAGAAAACACTCAGACACAGCAAATCACACGTATACAGGGATTAACTAATACAACAGGCTAAAGCAAGGGATTAGTTTACTCTCCCCCCCCCCCCCCACACACACACAGGATCAATAGACATGAAATCACTTTGTTGCTGTTAAAAGTCACCTAAGAGGAGTTAACGAAGCAGACCTCATCCACACTTTGATTATCCCCTCCACTTCAACGTCTCATTCACACCAATAGGACAGTTTTCTTAATGTGTTCATTTTCTGCTAAGAATCAATATTGTATCAGCTGTTAGTAAAGATTTGAGTTGCCTACACATATTGGTAAGCAGGGTAGCGTCACCTCACTTGTCCCACAGCTCCTGTAGGCTGGGTAAAAGAGGATGTATCACATGCTATCCACTTGTGCTTTAATCACAGTAAGAGACCACCCAAAGGAGAAAGAATGATGGAGGGCTGCGTCAAATTCTGCAGTAATATTTCTGACATGTCTCAGGTTGCACGTCGCCTGAAACAAACCTTACCGATCCTAAAGCAAGTAGCTGTACTTATGCATTCTGTATATGAAGGGCATATCTGTTAACTAGTATAACAGTGTGGTCCAGTAAAGATATATGTATAGATATATGGAGTAAAGTCCATATCATAGATAGATAAGCTGGATAGCACATGCGCCAAGATGAGTTCTATAATCTTGCAGGAAGTGAGAGTGGAACACGGGTGTGTCTTCAAAGAGAGATGAAGAAGGTCTTTGGCTCAAGCCACGCTAAAGTGTCACTGGTCCTGCCCGGTGTCCACACATGAAAGACAGACGAGTAAAAACAACCTCCTGACCATGTGCACGCCAACACACGGATAAAACCACCTGCTCTGTTCCCTGAGCTGCTGCTACCCACTGATTAACTGGACACACTCGCAACTGATGCCACTTCCACCAGTCAGCGTTCCAGCTTTCACAGGGGACACGGGACCAAGTCGGCCAAAAGGGACAGCGGTCGAGCTGCTCGTCTACGCCAAAAGCCTACAGCACTGTCTGATGCAACTGTAAATAAGGCAAAAATACTTGAGCAAGGAGAAGCTTCCATGAGATGTGGAGCCAGCACTGATACAACCACTTTCCTGCACAGTGAACCCTCAGCCTGAAAACAGAGATCAGAGGCTGGGCGACACAGTGACACTGCATTTGATCCGACTGCAGTTCCTACCGTTAGGGACCAATAAAATGGCTACTGTCTTCAGTGGCAGATGTGTTGCCCTGACGCATCATCCCACAGGTCAGGACAGAGGAGGCGCCTCAAGACACAAAGCGAGGATGAGGAGGAGAGGGAATCATCAGGAGATATGATTCTATAGTGCAATGGCTATGAGACTATTTTAAGACCCATCCTCTCGCCTCTTTAGAACTACCGTCCGACACCACACCGACAATACTAAAGTGCTGATTGTTAAAGCCCACGACGAGGCTCACACACTGACGATGTCCACAACATAAACAAAAGGTTTTACAGAGAAAGCTTGACAGACTCTTACAGTACACAGGTGTTTTGTAAACAGAACATCCAAGGAACAAATGCATGGCTATGGTACATGTGCAACTGAGTAGTTCTCATATATATTCATACAGTATGAACTTAATCTTCCTTTTGGTTGCATTCAATTTTTAGAAAAACAAAGAAACAAAAAAGAAAAAAAGAAGAGAAATCTGGCTGCCAAGCAAGCGTGTGCTTATTTTTTTAAAGGTATTTTTCTCTACCGTTTTAAAATACGTTCAGCTGAATTGAATGTATCACTGATTTAAGTATGAGCGCATATCCCTAACCTCCCTTCCACTTTTGTCTTTCTTTCCTTCCCTTTCTGCGGAGGTAACTGTATTCCCCCCCCCCCTTTCCTTATCTTATCCCTGTAACTCTAAATGAGGTGCCCTGGGTGACCTCGGTGTGGCCAGACTCATGCGCCAGGGTCTCACTCAGTAAAAGCTCAAGCAAACAGAGGATCAGGCAAAGGTGGGGCGCTGCGGCTGCAGCCCGGGTGCAGCCCTGCCGGGCGGGGCCGCGCTGTGCGTTAGGAGCGGTAGTCCTTTTTACTGTACGGCTTGTTCCCCAGGATGCTGTCCACCTCGTGTGTGATGGACGTTGACAACTTTGGAAGGACCTGCGTCAGGAGAGAGAGAGAGAGAGATGGTGAATATGTTCTCCTCATTTATATGGTGCCGTCAGTGGTTTTGGTCGTTGTTGGTCACAGAGAACATCAGCAGAAATTGTCTGCAGTTGCCTCTAGAGGGCGCTGAGCAGTGACTTGAGTTGTTTTCTAGTTGTAACCGACATTGTGCCGTCCTGTCTGCTACTTCCAGCTCATTACTTCAAGTAAAGCAACCAAAAAAAGGGAGGAAATTATAAGATGGTTTTATAGCTGATCTGCAGCGTATTTAATTTGTATATGAATCTTTTTTTTCACATTCTTTTCCACACATCCAGCTGCAGTAAGTTATTTCATATTATACAGCGAGTGAAAAATATACACTCTTTACTGAAGTAAAATTAGCAATAATACTCCATTGCAAGTCAAAGTATTACTAGCTAAATGTACTGCAATTATTGCAGTAAAAATACTTGTTACACAGTAGAATGCTCCCTGTCGGTGTTATATAATTATTAGTTTTTACTGTTTTACAGAAAACTGTTTAACATATACACATAGTTGAGCTACTCCCATGTAGAAAAGATAAAATAATTTGTTCTCTTACCTCAGTACAGAAATTAAATAAATACTAAACAGAAAGAAAATGTACTTTTACATGGACTTTACTTTTTAGGGTGAAGGAGTGGGTGCCCCAGTAAGTTTCAAGTAAAAGGAAAACAGCTCAGCCCTAAAGATATGTGAGCATTTCAAAACTGAAATATCAAATGTGCTCAGGGAGAGGAGACATATGGTGTGTGCACACATATGGTATACACACACACACACACACACACACACACACACACACAGGAGGATACACAAAGCATCAGAAAAGAAAAGCGTATGCTCTTTACTGCAGGCCAGACATAATGCAAGGACAGGACGTAAACCCCCACCGGTCTGAAAACCCCATTAAAAGAGTGCATCTCATCAGGAAAGGAAGCTCGTCTCCAGTCCCCCTGGCAAACGATACTCCGCTGACCTTATTAACTCGGTACAGTAAAGCACCCAAGCGTGCAGCAGCAAACTGCCCAAGAGGCCGAGCCGTACCCACGGGAGGAAGCTGCTGTTACAGATTGTGAGGCACGAATATGGACTTTATGAAACGGGTCAGGTCACATTTTCACAAATTGAGCAAGTAATTTGCTCTGCAGAAAAAACAAACAGAAGTACAAACACTCGTTTTGAGGCCTCACCTGTATCGCTCCTATGTTCTCCATCAACTGCTCGGTGTTGGACGCCCCTAAGAGGACTGAGCTCACCCCCTCGTTCCGTAGGCACCACGCTGCAGGAGACCAGCAAACAGCAATGACACCCCCAACCACGACTATGGACATACACACACACACACACACACTCATACACACACACACACACACACACACACACACACACTCGCAAAGAATCACACACCTTTCCACAACTATACTTCACGAACACACGGCAGTTATTGCAAATCAAATTACAAACATACAAATTAAATAAAATCGAGCCACAACTTCACATCACACAAACACTCACAAAGTGGTGGAAGAAGAAGTACACAGACTCTTTACATATCACAATGTAAAAATACACTACAAGCAGAACTCCTGCACTTATGAGTCACATTTAGAATGCAGACGTATCATCAGCAAAATACTTGAGTGTTTACTTGCATTATCACACATTGTTTTATTATTATGGACTTAAGGATAAACGTGTACGCAGCAGCATTTTAATGGTTTAGATGGTTAAGAGGAAATGAGTTTTAACTACATTATACCTCAGCTCAGGGTATCCTGCCAATACAGACTACTGATCAGATATCCGTTCTCTTTTTCCTAAATTTAAAATCTGTTTGCATCAAGGATTTCTATGTAGGTAACTTGAGACTTAAAACAACTGAGTCAGCAGCCTGCCAAGACAGAATAAATGTGACTGATAGCAGCAAGGACAAAAGAAATCTGTAATGTTGTGGCTGAATTCTGATCCGTTTAATGAGGTCAGTATATGCACCGATGCCAATCCGGCACATCAGCGCATCCATATGTGAAATAAATGCTGTGGAGTGGAAACTACATTATTTCCCTCTGAAATGTAGTGGAGTAGAAGTGCAAAGTACAAGTATCTCAAAATTGCCAGTTAATAAATGTGCCTAAATTCAAATATTGCACTCTGCTCGTAATGTGAAGGAAACTATGTTTTTTGATCTCTCTGAGAAATCTGACAAAAAAAAAAAACTCCTCTCTGTCTTATTCTGCGAGCTGTCTTATGCAATACAAATTCATGCTTTTGGAAAATAAGCTTGTAAGCAGATTACTGCATAAAGGGATGGAGAATTTAGATGTAAAAATAGTGGGATTATAATTTTACACAAATCTTCTAACAACGTGAGAATATGGCCTAAAAACACAACGGCTGAAGATCTTCCAATGGATTGACACAGGTGCAGAACTTCCCTCAGGCCACCGAGAAACCCACCGCATCAATTCACTCTATTCTCACAACCTCCACCTGAATGTACCACCTGCTCCAGCAGCACCAGGCCTCACTATCAAGCCTGAGGCAGCAAGGAGTCCATCATTGCTTTTATAGTTATTATTCAATACTGGAGTGCCCCAGTGATGTAGAGGACTACATGACGGACATAAATCTCCTCTGCTGCCTTCAGGAGCGCTGGAAGGATTTATGGTAATTGGGAGAGATGAGCGTGTCCACTAATGGGCCGTGAAACCTGATCTATGACACTGCATTACTGCGAGGGTGAAAGATCTGTCGTGATCTGCGCTGACATAGGAGAGGGAGTCCCAGATTTACTCGCCTGCGTCGCTAACGTCTGACACTTTAACAGCCCTCGCAAGAGCGTACGTCTTTAGGGTTTGCACACTCTCACCTCCCTGCCCAGCAGCGAATCGATATCAGTCTCCTGCTGGATTTATGTCTGGGATGCTATTTTAATGCTTACACTGGAAACTGTTTAATACACGTTTACACCACGGGCTTGCGTATAAAAAGATATACTGTAAACATGTTTGCATTCTTGTGTTGATATTTACATTACTGTCTTAATGTAGGATGTAATGTAGATCCTTGTTTAGACGCAAATACTGTATATTCTTCTTTGTCCCTGAGAGACAATGAGATCATTTACAGAGTCTAAGTCCCTTTAATATACACTACTTACTTTTTATTTCCTCACTATTGTCTTGTTACCTGCTCTCTTTCTCCTTGACCACTTTTTAAAACCGACAGTAGCTACAACTCACACACACACACACACACACACACACACACACACACACACACACAC